TACCCCTGAAGATTTTTACCTCGCTCTGTACACCCCTGAAGAATTATCCAAAGAAATTTGATGAAGATTTTTATTCTGAAGATTTTTATTGTAATTTAATCTGATTAGTTTGCTGTATGGGATATACAGCTATGTTATAATGTGATGCAGATGGAGTAGACCCAGATTGAATAGRAACCTATATATGAATAATTAATGATATTATAAGTAATATTGTGGTATGGTGGTTCTAGTTCCTCATCACCTCTAATAATGTTCTCAAGAATAATGTTCTCAAGAAGGGTCAAGATACAAACAAGACTTGGAAAATTGTTTTAAAAAACATTTTATAGAGCTACAAAAGTAGTTACGGTGATCAAATGTATTAAACATTGAAACCTTTTATGTAACAGTTGAAATTTTCAATTTAAAAAAATTTCTATTATGAATTGAACATTTTACCAACTCAAAAACAAACTGTGATAGTAGAATGCATAGGGCAATTGAGTTTACAAACTGTAGAAACTACTAAATACATGTTCAAGTCTAGAAACCATACAAAGAACTACTATGATTATTCATAAGTAGAAGAAGAATTGAACCCAAGACCAACAAAAAATATCAAAATAGCCTTCGTTATGGTAAAAACTACTAAATATACAGCTAGAAAGCACAAAAAACTGCTAAATAAGTCATAACTAGAACAAAAGAGTGTTATATAAACTCGCTTAAATGAATTAAATGAAAGGGGTATATATACACCTATTTAAATAAAGTTAGTCACCTGAAAAGCTACAAAGCTGAGACCAACAAGGATTATGGATAGATACATTTTACATGTTTCAACCGCTTGATAACAGTTGACGGACTTGAGATCTTTTACCAGTTACACATGTTTACAGTCTCACCTCCTCTGAACATCCTCAACTGCTGCAGTTTGTGTCAAAAGCTTTACTTGTTGGATATAAAACATTTCCCCATGATTCTCAGCGMTCACAGCTTTTTAGATTTTTGGTGACTAACTTCAACGAAATAAGTATATATAGTGGTAGGTTACGGAAAACAGAACAGCCAATCCATGGCCCCTACTCGTATATTATGTACACCTTACCAGTCACATTGTAAGTTACAAACTGGTTTAAACGTAAAATGTAAAAGGGTAGGGATATGCAAGGGCGGATCCAG